TAGATGAGTCTAATATATTACCAAAAAATTGACGAAGTCTACTTCACCGCTGTTAAGGTTTTTTTTTCCAGGTGAAAGGTAATTAAAAAGGTATCATTAGAAAATCCAAGTCAAATGACAAACAAGTGTTTATTGGAAGATGCTTTAGGGGGGGGGGGGGTGACAAACAAGTGTTTATTGGAGAAGAGATTTGAGATAAGCAATATTTTGGTTGACAATCCAACAAAATCTACGGAGTACTAAAATTCATTGACTTTTGAATACCTAAAGATTTTTTAAGATTTTTTAAAATTTTTATTGAATACCTTAGGATTTTTGAAGATTTTTAGAAATCTAGATTGAATACCCTCAGATTTTGAAAGTTCAAAAAAATCATACAGACTCTCAATTGAATACACCCCTTAATTTGTTCCGTGAACAATAATCTCACACGGGCGCATCACAAATAACAAAATCTGAATAAAAATAATGGAAATGTTCTAAAATAAAAACAACCTCCCATTAATATTATAGAGATGATCAACAAAGCTCAAATACTAAGTAGTTTTAACTTATATTGAAATTTTAAACTATTTGCTTTGTAGATCTCTCTAACATAAATATTACTCTAAGGGATATGATTTTCTTTTGAGTAAATTCTATAATTGATCCTTTATAACAGAGGATTTCCTTATTTAGTTCTCTATTATGTGTCATTATTTTTTTGTTATCCGCTTAACCAATATCAGAACACGTCACTAGACATAATGTTGATGTCAAATTATATTTTTAGCCTTTAAATTAACAGCAGCATAACAGAAGATCGAAAAAGACCTTTTGTGGAAAGACATCCTTAAAAAAGGACTACGGAGGTAATATTTGATAATAGATGACTAAATATGGAAATACCCCTGTTATAAAGGACCAATTATGGAATTTATTCTTTTCTTTATGGTATCCTCCCCTCCTGGCTTGGCTTTGAATTCAAAATTTAGAAATTAGAATTTAAAATTTAAAATTTATAATTTAAAACTTACAATAAAAATTTTAAAAATTCTAAAATTAATATTTTAAATCTAAAATTTAAAACAAGAGAATATAAATACGAACCTAATGTGACATCTAACTTGTGATGAAATGACAACAAATTCATAAAGAGTACCCTAGGGGTTGGTTGCCCTTTGGTCAGCAACGTCCAAACGCGCATCATCCTTCTCGTTGTGCTTCTCCTCAAGGGATTCCTCGACTGAATCATCACCAGAGCCCGGTGATGGCTCCTAAGAGATCTTCATTGTTTTCGATCACGAGGATGATTGTCATGTTTATGTCTCAAGGCGTGAAGGACCCGGCACTTCAAGAAGTTGTGCCCAAACTTCTAGCAATGGAAGCAATAGAGTGGAGCTCGGGCTTGGATCCTCTGTCTCCCCTCCCTCTCCCAACTCTCTGTCCCCCTCCCCCTCACTGACATTCTCCCACATAACCCAGTCCCGCCTCTACTCCCACCTTTGATGGGTGGTGGAATAGGGGGCATATGTATCATAGCGGGGTGGGTTTGTGTTACATTGCAGCGGGGGGTGAGTTATGTGGCAGAATGTGAGACGTGGGACAGGGAGGAGGGGACAGAGGATCCAAGCCCGTGGAGGTCCTGCGACATGTCAACGCGGACAAGGAAAAGGCAGAAACTAACTCTTCCCCTTCCCTTAGTCATATGGTCACTTGGAATGAGTTTGCATTGAACTTGCCCTTGAAGACAAGAGTCCTTCAATGGCATTGATTCCCGGCGGGTGGGTCAAGTAACCAACGAGGCTAAAACCCCAATCACATTACAAGAGGGAGAATCCGAAACCCAAACCTGTTGAATTTGGGACTCTACCGTTCGCGATGAACAGTGGAACCTGGAGGGGATAATGTATTTATCATGAAATGACTTACCTAAGGCAATATAAAAATCAATTTTTAGGTATTAATTGATTATTTATATTGCAAAAATCGATTTTTATGAATTAATTGATTATTTATATTGCAAAAATCGATTTTTATGAATTAATTGATTATTTAAATTATATAAATCGATTGTTATAAATTAATTGATCATTTTAAATTTTTTTTCTCAAGTCCAGATCCTGTTCCGAAAATATTCTGAAAATATATGCTCTAAAATCCTATTTTTGATATCAATTAATTATGAATAATATAAATATGATTTTGTATAATAAAAATGATGTTTTTGGCATATAAAACATTATGTGATGCATGACGGTAAATTACTTGATCATATGATGTTTTTGGCATATAAAACATTATGTGTTGTCGTTGTCTTTTTCAACCTCACAACAAAACTCTCACAAGAGTAGAATTGAGAAAATGATTAAGTCCTATGGATGACAAGAATACTCTCTTGAAAACAAAATAGTTTTCTCTCAAAATAACTTATATTTGAGGAAGAAAATTAAGACCACAAGAAAGATGTGTTTTTAGAGTGTTTCAAGTGTCTAAAAATAACCAAGGAAGAGCGTTTTAAATAGGGTAAAGAGAACATGCCTGTTGGTCTAAGAAAAGAGGTGGAATATGAAAAAATAATAATAAAAAATCGATTCTTTTAGTAAAAAAGCAATTATTGGTTTTGCTTCTTCATAAAATTCATCCAGAAGAAAAAACATATACTTTTGCAAAAATAAAAAATCGATTTCTGGAGCGAAAAATGCACAGACAAGATAAAAACATGCATCACAGATAAAACATTTTTGTCAAGATCCTCTTGTTCCCAACATATCCACATGATGAAGGAGGCTCAAAATCACCTCAAACAATTAATCAAAATAATTTTGAATAATTAAATGGGAAGATTATTTTCGGACTGAGGGAGTAATATTTTAGGCTTCATTTGAAGTTTTAACATAGGTGTATATAATAAGGTCTCCATTTATTGATTTGTTGGTGAGGTGAAACCTTCCCACACCGCTGCATCACAAATAACAAAGCCTTAATAGAAATAATGGAAATCAATGCTATTAACAACAAGTTTCCAATTGATATTCGAACGAGTCGTAGTATCCTAATACTAATTATTTTCGTTAAAAAATGAAATTAAACACTATTTGGATACTATGACTTGTTCATGTAGATGATTGAAAGACTTGGATACTTTCCAAGTGAGAAATTTTTTTTATCAAATGGGAAGATGGTAATCCCAGACTAATTCTTCTCCTCAAGAAAAAATCGTTCATGTAAATGATTGATAGACTTATATTAGATACTTTTCAAGTGAGAATTTTTTTATCAAATGGGGAGATGGTAATCCCAGACTAACTCTTCTCCTCAAGAGAAATCGGCAAATCACCCTACAAACACTGGTCGCGCCTATTATGTCCCTTGTAATGATGTCCTCTATCACAGATGGAGGGTCTTCATGTTCCATAAAATCCGCATAACTTTGTTCATGTTTTTAATCTCGATCCTCGTGTACTTATTTTGCAACTTCTTAATGTCGAAGCTGCACTTCTTTCTCTAGCATTGGCCAATCAACATTTTACAACCTTGAGTCATCATTTATTTCCATGTTAACATAATATACTTATCTCTTAGTTCAACACCTTTGGAATGCTTTTTAAATATATAATCGTTATTTTTTAAATTAAACAATAACTTTGATCGAACATCTTAAATCACATCACCTAATCATCTTGTTACAAGATGGTAGAAGCTTTCACTCAACTCGTCCGCCAGTTAGAAGTGCCCATTTAGCAACAACTTCAATGTTTTAATAATTTGAAGAAAAAAAATTATCTAATGACAACGCTTGACATTAACATTTTAAAAAATAATCTGCACCATATAAAAAGATTATACAAAGAGTGTTTGTTGTAAGGATAATTTTGTTAATTTTTAATAAAAGTTGTGGATATAGCAAAAAATAGCATGGATTTTGTCCCAAAATAGATTACACATTTACTATGGTAACATCCCGATAACTTTCATTTGTTTCGATGTTTTAATAATTATTTGATAAAATAAAACATTTTTATCGACACTTATTTTGTACTGTAGAATTTTTGATATAGTTTGTCCAAAAGATCAAATTGAATGAATAGTCTAGCATGCCGCTAGTAGTAGTAATTAAAGTGGCGATGGGATTATATTTTAGGATTCATTTGAAGTTTTAACAAAGGTGTATATAATAGGATCCCCCAAGTTTTTCACCTAAAGATAGTAAAGATTTGCAGATTTTCTAGGAGCCATCGGTTTCCTTAAAACATTTTCAATACATGACACTCAAAAAACATGTCCCAAACATGTCCCTAAGAATTACAGACAGGGAAGCTTGTTATCTACTTGAGTGCAAATCATTGTTTCCCCATGTCAAAATTTAGCACATGAATTTTGATGCTTTGTTTCAGAGCTCATGGAAAATGCACCTAAAAAAACAACAAAGTAAAATCCCACAAAAAGTGGGGTTTATGGAGGGTATGTGTACCCATGCTTTACCCTTACTAGGTAGTACAGAGGTTGTTTCCAAGAGAACCCCGACTTCTACTGTTCATAAAAGTTTAATAAATTTAAAATGCATCTAGAAAAGTTTTTTTTAAAAAAAAAAATTCCACCTTTATTTCCCCCAAGAAAAGTTTAATAAATTTAAAATGCATCTATGTGTACCCATGCTTTACCCTTACTAGGTAGTACAAAGGGGAATGTTTATAGCAAACTATAACCAGAAAGATTCTTCGAAATCTAATCTGAAACAATTGCAGAAATGTCGAAGAAGAAAACAGCAGAAGACAAAACCGCAATTACGTGCAAAAAACACTAAGGTTAAAAGAGACAGAGGGGACTTGCCTTTCATTTGAATGCAGACAGTCTGTTGAAACATGAAACACACATGACTGAACTACCACAGCTTGCAAGCTTAGCCTTCTCATCGGATTAGCCCAAATCAACGCCTTAAATAGAGAGCTGATACAGACATTGATATATTATCATGGCTGTTGAACTAATCATTAAATAAACAACAGGATTCAGTTCCCATGATCACGGCCCCTCTCCATAACAACAGGTTAGAACTTTTGCCACCCACTGCTTAAATTTGTATTTTTCCTACCGGTATGATAATCTAACCGTAGTTTAGTGATTGCAGCTAAAGACACTTATTGATTAATGCATTTTAATTACACTTTCTATGTAAACCAAACACCATAATACAAAAAAAAATCATTTCTTTAGTAGAACATGATTCAAATTTCCAGAAATGGCACAAATTACAATGATTTCTCACAGCCAATCATTGATTGTCTAGGGTGGTGTCAACCTTGATGTCATCCGTGGGGTTAAAGTAGCATTTTCCCATTCTTATCTGTGGTCTGTTGTACACAGTAGAACTGTAGTAATATATGAACATCATTGGAACAATTATGGTAGGGTCAGGATGGCATCTCTTTCAAAATTGGGACCCATGTACCATTTCAACGGATGAATTGTCGTCACGCGTATTATTATAAATAATACATGTGTGGACAATTTAACCGTTTGACACATGGTTAAAGTTTCTTTTTCGGAACTTATGAATTGAACCTGAGCCCACCCAAATGAGCTGTTCTATGGAATACAGATTATGACTGAAGATCTTCTAGTGTCAATTTAATTTTACTAAAATTAAATTGACACTGAAAATGAACCCAAACTGTATAGTGGAAACATTTTATGCCATATATCCCATCTCAAACTTCTGCAAAAAAAAAAAAGAAAGAAAGAAAGATTAGTGAGGTGAAATTCCAAAACCGCCTCCATCATATCAACTACATTTCTAAGATTAGTGAACACTATAAGTTCGCACCAAAAGTATAGTGACAGAATCTCCAAAACCGTCATTATCATATGATATTCACAAAGTGCAGCATAGAATCAACAAAATGCTTCTCTGTATTTCCCATATTCAGTGTTCCATTTCACACAAATCTATCATCATATCATCACTCTAGAGGCATAGTGCCCGTTTGGCAATAACTTCAGCGTTTAGCTTTAGCGTTTTGAAAAGGCTGTCTAACGGTATCGTTTAGCTTTTGCGTTTTCAAAATTAAACGGCATCATTAAAAATGGAATAAAAAATAAAATAATCAAAAACACTAACTAAAAATGTTGTTCCCAAACGAGGCCATAGTTATACATCTCATTCTGTTTCGATGGGTGGAAACACGAAAACGAGGGGAATGAAAATAGTGTGAGCAAGAGTAGTTATCTCCTGATTGGAAGGGGAGAAAAAAAGGAAGGGGAAAGACAATGAAGAGAAATATATGTATAATCTCCCTCGCCTTACCATATTTTTTTTTTTCTCTATTTCTTAACACACAATATACATTGAGCCTAACTCCAAACTTTTTTCAGATACATATAATATCTCTCCTTCCTCACAAATCTCCCTGCTCTCTCCTCCCATTTTTATTTCCTATCACATAAACCATATTCTAAGGGATTTAATATAATCCAAATAGTGTATCATAGGTGGCTGCAGGAGCATAGGAAGCTATTAGTACCTGGGCTGCAGCTGATTACGTGGCCGAGGCAGCTCGGCAAAGAGAGTTCAAAAATGAGAGCGAAAGCAGTTTCCGGGAAAGCCATAGTAGTTCTCTGTGTGGCAACCTTTCTAGCTGGATCACTGTTCAGCAGCCGGGTATGGAATCTGCATTCAGATAATACTACAACAGATGGCAGAGTGAAGCTCAGAGGTGTCAACAGTGATTGTGATCACAAGCGTGTAAGCTTCAAAAAATTTACTTTTGCATATTTTGGGTCCATTTGGAACCCAGAAAATACAATTGACAAAAAAATATGGATGAAAATGGGAAAGGCATACTTGGGGAGTGTGTGTGGGGGAGGGGGGGGATAAAGGGTGGAGTGAAACATAATAAAATTATTTTTGAAATTTGTTCAAACTCTTTATTTATTTATTTGTATAAAGAGTAAGGAATCTAATAGATATAAAATAGGTTTTGATAAAAAATTTATTATCTTTCATTTTTCTTTACATTTTCCAAGACAACCATTTAACCCAGTTATACATAAGAAAATAGAGAGGAAAATGGGAATGAAAGAACGTTTAGGGAAAAATAAAAGACATAGTCAAACTAAAAAAAGATTTGTTCAAACTCAAAGAACTTCACATTTTCCTTATTTGGTCTCCAAAATAAACTTCACACTTCTCTCATTTGTTTTGAAGAAAAGCACTTGTGGTTCATAACATATCTCTCTTATAAGCAAATTCCAACCGCCTTTCACTTCTCAACACTTTTCTTAAATTCCGTGAAGACAATCTGTGAAGTTTTTTACGGTGCGGAGGGAGTATTAAGACAAACACTACGTTTGGTTCATGGAATTTGAAAGGAAAAGAAAAGAAAGATGTTTTCTTTCCTTTTCCCCGCCTAAATGGAAGGAATGATGTTTTCCTTTCTTCTTAGTTCATTTTTCTCCCATTTTCTTTTCCTTCCATCTTCTTTTCAATTCCTCTCAAACCAAACAAGAAAAAATAATTTCTCTCTTATTTTCTTTTTTTCCCTCTCAAATTCCATGAACCAAACATAGTGTAAGAAATTTATACCAATGAAACATGTTTTTTAAATATCGTGTTCCGTTTACTTTGCATTTTCCAAGGTAAAGAAAAACATACCATGAGAGATATCATGGGAAAGAAAACAATTCTACTAAAAGTATTTTTTTCCCTTTTCCCTGGCATTTCCTGTGATCCAAATATACCCTTTGTGTCTTTTTTTTCCTCCTGATAAACACAACATTTTGTTTGACCAGAAACTTGTGGAAACAAATACAAGAGATATCATGGGAGAGGTCAAGAAAACTCATCTAGCTATCCAGTAAGAAAACATGTATAAGAGTTTCTGCTAGAATTGAATGGTTATTGTGTATTCAAGTGTACGTAATCTTTTTTTTTACTGTTTTCTCCTCAAGCAGGTCGCTTGAAAAAACAATATCAACATTGGAGATGGAGCTGGCCGTTGAGAGAATGAACCGAGCTGGAAGCAAGACAGCAACAGAAGGAGGATCAAATAATAATAATAATAATCACAGCCTACACAAAGCTTTTGTTGTCATAGGAATCAACACAGCATTTAGCAGTAGAAGGCGGCGTGACTCTCTTCGTGAAACATGGATGCCCAAAGGTATTTCTCCTCCCTCCATACTTAACAAAAAAAACTAAACTACTCCCTCTGTCCCAAATTACCCAAATTAAATGTGATTTTAGACACACACACACACACACAGAGATTACGCACCACAATGATTTGCTCCTATCAACTCTTCCTACAGACTACAATAATGGTTTGTAGCTTGAAAATATACGAAGTGCATTTATTTTTAAATTTTAAGGCAGGTTACAATGGTCATTTTGTAAGGTTCCTTAATTAATGTCTACAACATAACAAAAAACCTAGTATAATCCCAACTTCGTTGGGATCTTAGGGCTCAAGATGTATGCAACCTTAACCCGTAGAACAAACAGAGAGGATGTATCCTACTATCCTTAATGTGTTTTGGGATGCAAGTAGTGTAAAACAACAATCCTACATGGTCTTTTACATATCTAAGTAACATATACACAGGAGAGGAGCTAAAGAAACTGGAGAAAGAGAAAGGCATAGTCTTACGGTTTGTGATAGGACACAGTGCAACGCAGGGAGGAGTCCTTGATAGAGGCATTGATGAGGAGGATGCTGAATATAAAGACTTCCTCAGGCTTAATCACGTCGAAGGATACCATGAGCTGTCCACCAAAACGCGCATATATTTCTCCACTGCTTTCTCCCTTTGGGATGCAGAGTTCTACGTAAAGGTGGATGATGATGTCCATCTGAACCTGGGAATGCTGGCAACCACTCTATCAAGGCACAAGTCAAAGCCAAGAGTCTACATTGGCTGCATGAAATCTGGGCCCGTTCTCTCCCGCCAGTAAGTCAAATTATTATACGTATCAGAAAGCACACTATTTTTTTATTAAATATGTTTTTCGCCGCTCCAAATATAGCGGTTATTGCTTTAGGTTTCTCTAAACAAAAAACCGGTATTCCTCCAATCCTCCCTGTAAATGATTACATTCTTTTTTTTATTCCCTTCCCCTCGACCTCCGTTTGAAAACAAAACACATAATCAAGATGTGCTTTCCATGTAATTCTTAAATGGCTTAAATACGTGGAAACTTTACACATGTGTCTCAAAAAAACTGGCCTTACAGACCTTTACCATGGACTTTCCACCGCGATTTCATCCCTTAAGGTACAAAGCACAAAAAATACAAATGAGCTAAAACAAAAACCACTATAATTTTAGGGACAAAAAAAAACATACTAAATCCTTTCTCAAGAACATTTCAGAAACAACGCTATATATACCGGTATTCAATCAAACTGACCCTATAAAAACACATTCTTGATTGCAGAGGAGTGAAGTATCACGAACCCGAATACTGGAAATTTGGAGAAGAAGGGAATAAGTATTTCAGGCATGCCACCGGCCAGATATATGCCATCTCCAAGGACCTTGCTGCATACATCTCTATAAACTCGTAAGTCACTCAAAAGAATGCTACTTAGCATCAGAATCCTTTATACAAAAACTTACCTTTTAAACCTGACAATTTGTAGGGGCATCCTGCATCGATATGCAAATGAGGATGTGTCTTTAGGGGCATGGCTTATTGGTTTGGAAGTAGAACATGTGGATGAGAGATCAATGTGCTGTAGCACCTCTCCAGGTATTTGATTTTTTTAAAACTCGACTAAAGTGATTTATAGCGAGATCAAATATTAACAGAAAATAGCTGATAAAAAAATAAACAGATGAAATGTCAGGCTGTGAATGGAAAGCAAAGGCAGGGAACGTGTGTGTGGCATCATTTGACTGGTCATGCAGCGGGATATGCAAGTCAGTTGAAAGGATGAAACAGGTGCATCGTTCATGCGGGGAAGGTGAAGGGGCTGTTTGGAGTATTGATATGTAATGAAATTGAGAATTTTTAGCACTCATCAAGTCAAACTGAAACAAACGGATGAGAAGATTGTGAGAGGAACTTGTTACATTACCATTTTAATAATGCTTTCACTTTTGCACTTTTTTGACAGAATTTTGGTTTTGTCATTGGTCCAAAAACCTTGTTACCATCTAGTATAATAAATTTCAAGCTTTGTTGGTCATGTTTTTTACTCCCTCTGTTACAACCTATCTCGCATGGATGCAGAGGAGATATAGAATAATATGAAGCACATAACACTGTCAAATCCCTTTGTGATGTTTCGTGGGGTGATCTGATTCACGTTGTCCAGAAGCGTGGATTTCAACATCAGACCTGTTGTATTCCTATCTACGTATACAACACATTTTTAATTTTTTTAAAATCATACTCAATCAAACTAGGCATAAGATTTTTTTTCCTATTCCATCTTGAAATTAAGTTCCTCTTTCTTTTTAGAACAATTCAAACAAAATTCTGATTTTAATGGTAAGAAGTGTGTGATTCATGTTATTTCTCGTCTTTAGATAAATTTCAATTATACTATTTTGTTTACTTGAAAATTTCTTGAAAATAAAAATGACATGATTTGAAACGGTATGAGGAAATATGTTTGAAAAGAATGACGCACCTGGTGACAGATGTTGTTGGCTTGTTCTGCATAACAACAGCCCAGTGAAAAGCAATTTTATCCACACAAACACCCATCTCTCCTAGTTTCAAGAATATACCAGACACCCGGGTGGCGTAGCTCAACTGGTCAACAAGGGGTGCAAAAGGGCATTGTGGCCGGGTTCAACTCCTAGTGAAAGCAGTGTGCCTGTGTGGGACTTTTATGCTTTGCATAAGGTCCTTGCTGGGGACTATGGACAAATCTCACTCACTATTGCATAGTCTGATATTAAAGCTTCATTATTTTGTAAGAATAGTCCACACAATTGGACAAATAGGGAAATTGAGCTTTTTTCACTCTTATCGATAAGGAGAGGAATGTACGTCTACTTACTGTTGAACATGATAAACTCCTAACATAATTATCATGAATCGAACTTGAATATACTAGATGGAACGATGAAAAAAAAAGTGCAAACTTTATTGTGGGACAGAGGCAGTCGTATATCCAAGAGAGCTCTTGCTTACCCTCTATAGTCCTCCATTCATTTAACCAATGGAGCCCTCCATTTTAGCCTGCATTCACCATTCAAAATGATGCACGAAAAAACTTGCAAAATATGGAAATACAATTTGAAAACCCTCGGCCGCCAAACAAGCATATTCCACGCACAAACACATTTATTTGGGGTTGATAGTTTCATGTCTAAACTAGTGAGTAGTGACGACATGCCCAAATTAGGGAAGGCAACATTTATTGTTCCAAAATCCAAAGTGATACAATTATACTTAGGGTACCCCAATTTTGACATCACTCTTCTCACAAACATTCACAGAATAGTGTCACATGTCTACTCTTCTCACAGGCATTCACAGTATAGACATGTAATGTTTGTAAGAAAACGGTGTCAAAATGGGAGTAATGAGATTTGGGGAGGGGGGGGGTATCATTCTAAGTGATAATGCTTGCCAACAGCTTCAGAGACGTCCCAAGTGCAGCTCAAACCCTCCGGGAACTCGACAAGGTCGCCCGCTCCTATTTCAACAACTTTGTCATCACATCCCGTCGGCGTCGGGTACACCTTCACCTTCCCCTTCAAAAGATAGCATGTCTCCTTGGAGGAGTACGTCCATGGAAATTTGCTCGGTTCACATCCCCACCTATATCACTCAATAGTCAATATAGCTAGTAATAACAACAAACCCATCAAAATCGCACATAGTGAAATCTAGGGAGGGTGAGCGTACGCAGACCTCACCCCTTGCGTGGGACGTAAAGAGAATGTTTTCAAGAAAACACGGCTAGTGATGATTTAAGATATGTGTGTACAATTGTACATTTTAAAGCTCCGTTGGCTGACCTTTTGATTCACTTACTAGCCTTTCATTTGTTTACCAAACATTTCCTATTTCATCGAAAAAACAAAAAAAAACCAATGCATTACAGCTCCCTTCGGATCAAGGGTAGCTAGCTGTATGTACTCCATTTTTACGTTTACAGCCCAAAACACATTCAACCACTCCATCCAAATTTAATCTCATCAAACATGTTCTTAACACCACTAATTGCGACAATCAAGCTAACCTAAGTTACAAGTAAAAGAGATGTTTAAAAGGTCTCGTGAACAAGCTCCTATGAAGAAGTTGCAATGTTTTTAGGTACACCATATGTTTCAAATGGTATATTTCATATATTCGAGAAAGGACAATCTGAAATCAAAATCAATTAAACAAATAATCTTCTCTTTAAAACGGTAAAACAAACATTTGGTCACAAAAGGAGAAAAGGGTCTTTGGCCACAATATGGTTATGACATAAACTAGATTCATTTTGAAACATAGTTTTAAAATCCAAATTTTCATAAAATATATGTGTGTGTGAATATATATATGAATAATCAAAATGTTGAATTAGAGACGGTTAAAACTTAAAGGAAAATTTCACACCATTACTCCCAGAATTACACAATTTTATATAAATACTCCGAGATTCAATTAATGACGTCAATACTCCCAAAATTTTCATATGTTTACATCGCTACTCTAAGAATTCATTTATGTTTATAGCTATGCTCCAAATGTTGGGGCACCGATGTAAACATATTTCAATGTTGGAGTATTGATGTAAACATAAAAAAATTCTGGGAGCATGGATGTCATTTATTAAATCTCGGAGTATTTATGTAAAATTGTGTAATTTTGGGAGTAATGATGTGAATTTTTCCAAACTTAAAAGTCAAATAGAAAACAATATGGACATAAGAGCAGATTATTACATTATTGGTCAATAGTTCATAAGTATGCCACATTAGAAAAAAGTTAAATAGAGAATGATGAGTTAAAATGATCTTGAAGTGATTGATTGGATTCAATGTGATTTTATTTTGCTCAAGACCTGCTAAATCTTAAATTCTACTCGAAATTTTGGGGAACAAGGCCATGTTCTCATCAACTTATTTTTTTTATTTATTATTTATTCTTATTGGAATCAGATCCAATCTGATCAAACGAGACCAGACCAAAACAACTTAAAATATAACTCAAACGAGATCAGATCAGATCAGAAACAACTTTAAATATAACTACATTCATATCAGAACTTATTTGAATCAGATAAGAATTATTCAGATCAGGTGAATATGGCCTAAATGCCAAAAAATATGTAGCATGATTTTGGGAGACATATCTCACTCTCTATTTAATATTTCTCAAGATTAAAACTCAATTTATGGCACTGGAGTCTAAGGTATGGTTCATCTTTTTATTTTTCTGATGAAAAAAAAAAGTGAGATTTAATTTTCTCACCTGGTGTGTGGGATGGTCTGATTAGAGAAACTCACTTTAGCAAGAAAAAAAGGGAACTGTAGCGTAACATGGGAGCAAGAAAGGGGAGCGAGTTACTTCGGCCAAGATTTGACACCCAACTCGGTGAGTTTGGACTCCGGAGGGTTGTTGATTATCTTGATTCCGCTTTTCCCTGTGTCCATCGCGCCGCCGCCGCAAGGTTCCGCCGCGAGGTCTTCCGGGATCACAGTCTACGACCATGGCAGATCATGAACGCCCCTCCGTGAGGCATTACAAATAGTATAAGGCTGTTTTGGTAGAATTCAAATTATGAGATTCTAGGATTTGGTAGCACAAAAATTACTTAGATTTGGAATTAGTAGTACAAAAAATGAATTGGAATTGGTGAATTCAATTCTATGGAATTGAATCTAATGAAATTATAATTCCAATTCAATTCCAATTTCTATTATTTTCGTGTACCAAACGGACCCTAAATGAATAATAATCTTGGATCAACGTGCAAAATTTTTTGATTTTTAAAATGACATTTGGACGGGGACAGAGGAAGTAGTTTTCAAAGCATTTAGTACATTTAGAGTAGGTTTTTATAAGTAACAACTACATTTAGGTAAGTACTTGAGCCATATAGTATCATTTATGCACTAAAAATTCAATTTTACAAAAAAAAAATTAGAATTCGAATCGCAGTTTCAGAAATAGTACCACAGGCTACCAATACCGGAAGGGGTGCCTGCAATCGGCAGATCCGAAACCGACAATTTCAGAAATGTATTTCAAAGTCACTCTTGTTTAATATGTAGTTGTTGGGTAAATGATACGTGTCTCGATCTCTTTCCCCAATTCACACAACCAAACTCTTGTACACTCATACACACACTCAATAATACAAAGACACGATTTTAGAAAATGACTTTGTATTATATAAATAAATATACAAGAGAGATTACAATTACACGGGTATCATACTTCACTCTTTGTATTAGGAACACCTCTCTACACCTCACTCACAAGTCACAAGCACTCTCAAGAAGCATTATAAGAAAACCTCTCAAATAGGAGTAAAACATATACCATATCTTTAAAATAGGAGCATAAACTTAAACTCCTCTAAATAGGAGTAACTAATTAAGCAGTAGTGGCGGAGCTACATCGGAGCAAGTGACTGCAATTGCAGTCACTCACCTTTCTATGTTAGTGTATATATATACGAGTATACACTCAGTGCCATTATATTTCACCGCATGAGAACCAAACGCCCAACTCTTTTTTCTGCCTTTGGCAATTGCACTGCTGGGATTTGGGATGCTAAGGAATTGAAGCAGGTTCTTTTCTTTATTTCTTTTTCTTATTTGTTGACATGTGATAAAAAAATTAAATTTAATTGCTAAATTCAATGAATTGAAACTGCAAAATTATGCTTTAAAGGTGGGGATGTGTATAAATTTATTGTTTTGCACCAAATTAAGTTTTAAAAAAAGTGTATATATTGGGTGCATAGGCTTCCGCCATCATCTCTGTGAATTTTTCAGTCTTTTTTTATTAAAAAGGAACGTTTAACCATTATCAATGACCACCGCCGTATATATACGAAATGATGCCAAAGATTGATTTTTTTTTGCTATAACAAAAAAGGTAAAGCGAAGCATCGGGAAGGATTAATTGGTCTATCAGTAAAACTTTCGTTGCATGCTTTTAGTGAGCTGTAGAAGACTGTTACATTTCAAATATCTACCTATACAGTGTCATTGGATTTGGTTTGGCATTATGTCATTGTGTAACATTGTAACATTATATATGAGCATATGTGGCATTATATATAGGCATCTATGGTATTATATAATGTCATATGTGACATTACATGGTGCCATGTTTGACATTATAATGTCTTTCTTTGACACCGTATTAACTATTAATTTGGCACCACTGTGGCGACGATGGTGTAGATTGTGATGGCAGTGTTGTTGATAATGGTATATAGCACTGATATCATTGAATTGATGGTGACGATGAAAAATCAAAGGCGTCAATAGTAGGTTTCATTTGTAGCGGTACGGCGGAGCAGAGGATGGAGGTGGTGGAGATTCAAGTGATAGTGGCAGGTATGTGGCGGTGACGATGGCGGCGGTGGGCATCATCATCGACGACGACTGCGGCAGTAGGCGTCGCTGTCAGTAGCATGCTTTTGTGAAATTGGCCGAATTTTTTTAGTTTTGAATTTGGCCACCACTGGTATTGGCCGCAAATGCAGTGCGTGTGGGGAGCATTTATTGTTTTACTAATTAAGTTAAAATCTTTATTTTAACTTTTTATAGAAAATAAAAAAATGAAAAACTCAAAAACATTGCAAAAAAAAATGTCGCATGCAGTGATTAATGCTCCTGACTTTTAGTTTGCATACATCTTTAAAACAAATGTGCGTGTGGGAGTATTTTTTTGTTTTATTAATTATGTTCTACTCCTATTTAGAGGAGTTTATGTTTGAACTCCTACTTTAAGGATATGACCTATGTTTTACTCCTAGTTTGTTCCTTCTCCCAAGCATTATCGGTTCTTCACTCTCTTCTTCCTTCTCATTCATTGCCAAATGAGGCATGCACACCCCTATTTATAGTCATCACCAAGGCTTGACTTCTCTAGAATACTCCACACATCTCTACGTATCTAGAATCTTTTAAAAAGTCTCCACAAGCTTTCATAAAGTTCTAGAAGAATCCAGAGAACCCCACACAGTTTTAGAACATTTTAGAGGACTCTACATTTTTCAACGCACTTCTAGAGACTTCCAGACTTCTCTTGAAAACTCTAGAACATTCTAGAAACCTTAACACTATTCTACACATTTTTAGAGAGTTCTACACTTCTCTAGAAAATTCTACAGCATTCTAGAGAATTCTACACATCTCCACAAACTTCTGGAATTCTCTAGAATCTTCTCTCTCACAAACCTTTGGAAATATTGAATTAATATCCTAACAGTAGTAATAGAGTTATTAGTGTTAAAAAAAAGAGTACAAGTGCCATTTTTGCCTAGGTTGCTTTGATGAAAGGGTGTGGATCACTCCCATACCTCCATGAGGCTCCATCCCTTCCTGCTATGGATGAACAAAAATACTGATACAATGTTGTTTCAAACCAACTAGCATGATACCGGACCAAAAAAATGGGGTTTCATATAGGTATTGTAAATAATATCTAGAACAAATTGTTTCGTTTTTAAAAAGGTATGAGACAAGTTCTCAAAAAATGAGTACCAAAATCTCGAACCAGTCGTTATTATTAAAGTGTTAAAGTATCAATCAATTATACCTTTACGTTTGTTACTTTTCAATATTTTTGGCTCTGCTTCTTCGGTGCAACTTTAATTTTCTTAATCATGGTCTTTTAAATTACTTTAAAATTATAATTTGTCAAAAATTATCCCCCTCCGTCCCAAAAAAAACTTTTTTATATTTTTTACTTTTTTGTCAACTTCCAACACACTATAAGTCTATAACTATAAATAAATATAGAATACTCCCTCCATTTCTATTTAATTGTCCGTTTCATTTTGCGAGTCAAATGTTTGACTAATTATATATAAAACTACACAATGAATATAAAAACTATACCAAATTATTGGTATAGGAAAATACTTTATATATATTACTTATAATATTCTTTTTGCTAATATATTTTAAGAGATATTGTTGGTCCATCTTTGAGTTCAAAATGCGAACAGGACAATTAAAAAGGAATGAAAGGAATATAACTTTATATACTCGGGGTATATAAAACCAAAAACAATAATGTCCAATAAAACACGCATACTCCAATGAAAACACCTTTAATTTCATGCTGGTTTTGCTTCTATGTTAAAGTATATTTTTGAATAGTACAGTTGGGTTGACGCTAGACTAAGTGACACTATCATTTTGGGACACTTGTAATTCTCTATTCACAAATTGATATAGTAGTTCATATCCTCCCCATCTCTCAAATTGATGGTTCATAAGTTTAACCCCAAAACCAACAACATTTGAATGGTGGAACTGGAAGAGGTGAGGGGTGCTACAATTAAATTGATGTAACAATCTTACACGAAAGGAAAATTTTAATACAACAACATTCAAGTAAAACCCCATGAAAGTAAGATTTTGAGAGGGTACTTAGTGAAAAAAATAGAGCTTAATTAGCAGCATTAGTGAGCAATCATGAACATCATGACTAGTCTATAGACATAGATGACATTTGGATCTTTAAAGATACATTTTCAACAAAAGTACCAACAAGAACATCCTCACACAGTTCCCTCAAACTTCATCATCATCATCATCATGACTGGAATTTAAGTGTGTACAAAAGAAACATCATCAATGGCAAAGACAGCTAGAAATTTAAACTCAGAGGGTTGGAGTTCTTTCAGCTGAGCCAGCAATGACAGTCAAGAGATTGTTGGCAAATGGGTCACTCAAGTGGGCCGCAAGGTTCTCGACGGGGCCTTGCCCCGTCACGTAAGCCTGGAGGAAGAATCCCAACATGGAAAACATGGCGAGCCGCCCGTTCTTGATCTCCTTCACCTTCAGGATCGCCGCCTGGTCCGGATCCTTTGCCAGCTTCAGGGGGTCGAATGGACCCCCAGGGTACAACTTGTCTTCTAAGTTCTACATGAAAGTTTACACCAGTTCAATTGGAGCACCTACGGTGTCTTTTGGAAAAATTAATTTTTTTAAGGTGAGGATCGGAGTTGATTACCAAGCCATTGGTGATTCGGAAGTACTCAGCACCGCCAACAAGGACAACCTCGGCAATGACAGCAACGACGAGGTTGATTGGGATGTTATTACCATAATAACTCAATGTGTTCCCATCAAGTAGCAAAGCCCCTGTCTGCACAAACCAAATAATATACAGTTCACTTCCACAACTTTTTTAATATGTTGGTTTGTATTTCTATATTGTTAAATATATTCTATATTTAATGTAAATATATTGTTCCCTATTATTGTCTCCTACCTTGTATAGGATTAGGAATATATTGTTTCCTATTATTGACTCCTACCTTGTATAGGATTAGGAACTCTTATGTATATATAGACATGTACTCCCACATATTTGATCAATGAAATTAACCTTTCTACATGGTATCGGAGCCTAAAAATCAAAAACCCTAAACCCCCCCTCTCTCTCTCTCGTTCGGCCTTCTCTCTCTCGCCGTCAGCGCCGACTCTCCACGGCAGCTCTCCTCACCGGCGACACCCTCTCCTCCTCGGCGGTTCTCTTCTTCCCCTCACCATGGCCGAAAACAGCGAGATCACGTCCCAAAATACCTCCTCCAAACCTCCTCACTTTGCTTTCACAACAATCTCAAACGTGAAACTTCACGTCCCCGTTCCACTCAGTCTCTCCCAACCTAATTACAAAAAGTGGAGCCGACTCTTCCTCCTTCTGGTTCGGCGATTCAACCTCAAGGGCTACATCGATGGCTCCGTCGTCCCCCTCTCCGATGACGACGACGAATGGTTCCAACTTGACGCTCTCCTCCAGGGTTGGATCCTCTCCACCATCACCGATGAGGTTTCAGATCTGGTCATCTCCTCTGTCTCCACTACCTCTGCTCTCTGGAAAGTCATCCACGACTTGTTCCACGACAACAAACATGCTCGAGCTATGCAATTGGAACATGAATTTCGCACAACAGTCAAGGGCAACTCCACTATGGCAGCCTATTGCCAACAACTGCAGAATCTTGCTGACTGGCTGGATGATGTTGATGCACCAGTCTCCCAACACCAACTCGTTCTTCAAATGCTTCGTGGTCTCCCTGCCAATCTCCAGGGACAAACATCATTCCTGCAATTTCAGGATCCCATGCCCACGTTTCTGCAGGTTCGATCCGCCCTCATGCTACTGGATCGACAACGGACGGGTCCCTCCGACTCGGGCTCCACGGCTTTCCTCACGACCCGAGCCGGCGGCAACACCCATGGCGGCACTCATGGCGGTACTCCCAGCGGCTATGGCGGACAGCATGGCGGCACAGGCTATGGGGAAGGCAACTCCGGGCAACGTGGAGGTTATGGACGAGGACAAGGCCGTGGCGGTGGAAATCGGGGCAGAGGTCGCGGACGTCAAAACGGATCACGACCACGGCAATCCTACGACGGCAACAATACCTGGAACTCACCGTACCCTAACCCCAAGCCGGGTCTCTTAGGCCCACGC